TTGTCTTGTACGTGTATGAAAAGAAAATGTTCATGCAATGGAATGACAAAAGCGACAAAACACATAAGTCCAAGTATTCTTGAAAATCTACCATTACCATGTAATCATTGCATCTACTCGTACATGAAATGTATCAGATTTTATCAATATTTATTGAAACCTGAATATCCCTTGTAAGGGATAATAATTATGTATATTATGTTGCACAATTCACCAATCAGCGCTCGTTTACATTACATTATTTGAAATGCCTTGTTCAATAAAATTACTATACGATTTTGTTGTAACCAAATTGTGTTTATCATCTCCTGAAAAAATGTATGTCTAAAACCTTCCCATTACTTAATGAAATGGACATTAAGATTTAGTTAGATTACAATCTCAGTCAGTCTATGGGCAGAATTCCCGACTCACAAAATAATGACACTTAAATTAATTAGTTCGCCCTTGAATAGGTTTTAAGAGATTTGTTAACTTTGTCTGGCTGGCTTTTATAGTCAATAGCAATGTTTTAATTACAAAGGGATTCACGAAATTCAAGTGGAATATTCGTCAAATCAGCAATTCCTCAAAATGATGTTATAAGGTCAAATCCATAGTTGGTCAAATCGTCTATTTGTCCAATACATTTGCCAAGTACCTTTACTCGAAAGTTTTTTGTCTAAACTTCTTAGACCTTTTTCCAAATGAGGGCATAGTTAAACCCGTTTCATATTTACGAGCAATCCACACTTTTATGAAGGTCCAAACTGCTGTCAGTAACGCGCTAGTTAAGCTTCAGCCAAACCAACGCGTGCAGATCGCGTCGGCGATTGCGATCACTGCGCGTGCATAGATCGCCGTTACCAATGGCAGGACGCGTTGATATGAACTCATCGCTAGAAATTCATCACGACGTCTGTAGGCCTAACATGCGCGCAGCGATAAGCGTGTATCACGCCATTTTATTGATTTTACGCGATAAACCCATACATTTGTCGTCTAAAATCATCGATAAGATTTTATCAAAGCGCGCATCCTAGCCCGACTGATCGCCATCGCCATCGCGCACGCAGGCTGCACGCGTTGGTTTGGCCGAGCCTTTAGTTGTCCAGCATTTCACACTCGCAACTATGTTGCTGAGTTACGATATTTTCCGTCCAAAGATTTTATGGTCTCGACAGATTGGCCTTAAACTGTTGTAGTAATAGGAGTACGTGCGAATCTTGAGTGCTTTAGTGTTTGTAAATCGTGCAATATCAGCTCTACACTAACTTCATTGTAAAAAATATTTGTTTCTTCTTTTACCTAATATTGTAATAAGATACGTCAACTATTTTATAGTCTCTACCGTCTTAGTTAAGGGATACTTAAGGTAAAGAAGCCCATATCTAGTACCCATATTACAGGCTTTGCTTAGTTTGGAACTAGATGCGTAGTATTAAAAAATTACAAAAAAAAACGTCTTACAATTGATAACTAACAAATAGATTTAAATTGGAATTAATTGGTATCTTAAAATCCTGACTAAAAACTTAATACGACTTGAACCATGGATGTCTCGAAAAGAAAAAGAAAGTTAATCCAACTCGAATGGTTTGTTCATATCTTTCCAACTAATTGGCTCAAGCTCTAATTGGCCAAGAATTATTAAAATTGCTTGCTTTGTAACTGTCCAACTGTCTCACAGCATTTAGCATTTTACAGCGGCGACAATGTTGCTAGTATCAAGCAACTTCAAGCCGACCCCGGACAGAGAGGATTTTATTGCTATTGCTCTTGTTGATTTATGGCCTCACGGATTGACTTCAACTATGTATTGGAAGTGTGAATACAGTAAAATAATTTAGTATCAATAATGAATGAACGAATGATTTTATAGAGCTGTTATTTCGCCAGAACTTTTAAGTTTTGCCCGAACAAAAATACAACTAATTTTGATATTGCCTTTCTGAAAGTTTGGTATCTGGTTTATTTAGTTATTTTCATTTATTTGGTTGATTTTAATAGAAATTTAACCCGTTATAAAATATTGGATTAATCTGATTCAAAGTGACACGTAACATGGGTTACAACAATTTTACAAACTAACCTTTACACGCTCATAAATTGTCGTAAACGAAAATTTACTATGTGCCCGAATAAACCCAAACAACACAATCCTGATTTACTGACTGTTTCGTTAGAGGATCATTTGACTCATTATGTGGTCGGTTAGCTGCATAATTGACCAAGCAATTTATAGTCACGTGATATTTATTACATTATCACTGTGATTGAAATTGTAAACAATAATGGGATGTAATGGGCATCTTTAACGTTTATGACTGTGTTCCAATTACAACTTAATTAACAGAAAACATTGTCATTAAGCCCCTCTCGGCCGTTTGGTGTAGTGGTTCGAAACGGACTACTATTCCGGAGGTTGCAAGTTCGATTCCCGCACAGTAGGTACAAACATTTGTGTGCATGAACATATCCGTTGTCTAGCACCCATAGTACAAGCTTGGCTTAGTTTGGGACTAGAAGCGCAGTGTAACATGTCCAAAGATATTTATTATTTATTTATTTACTTTACAAGTAGCCCTTTTTTGAAAAAACTTTAATAAACAACAAGTCTTACACAAGTTCTCCGCTGGTGAGTTTTCCTCGTAAACTTACCGCATACTTATGTATCATTAGTTACCACTGTGTTTTGGTTTAGAATTTGAATTTAATAACTGATGATGATCTATGTACTTATCGACATCCCTAGACAAAATACTTTATATTTCTTTGATAGTTCTAACTCCCAAATCGCTATACTTCAACGTTTTTTGGAAGCCAACTAATTGCTTCGCTCCATGAAGCGATCGCGAAATTGAATCCATCACGAATGTTTGTCTAGGAGGACCGAAATAAAGCAGTTGTAAAAACAAGGTAATTACACAAAACTCATCAAGTATTAAGGATTAAGACTAAAGGACGGATTGCGGCTGTATCCGACTTTCATCCGATCCTAAATGGGCAGGACACTTTGATGAGGGTAGGACGTTTGTTTTTGTGCCGATACCCGCTCTGATTGTTTCTATCTATAATGCTTAATGGTTATTGACGCGAAAGTCTTTTATATTGCTATGAATTATTTACACAAAACTCCAAAAGGGTATCCCAAATCGGGTATTGGAGCTAAACGCTTTCATTACCTTTACAATATAATATTATAGGATAATCATAAGAAAATGTGGTAACAATTTTCAGTTTTCAGGAGCTTTTTGAAGCTTTCTCTAAATAAATTTCGTCCTCGAAGACTTTGATAAAAGTACCAAAACTTTCATAAGTTTAAACTACAAAATGTCATTGTCATTAAAATCAATCAATTAGTGAAGGAGCACTAGACCATCCTCCTCCAAACTTTCGCGTTAACCCTNTTAAAATTTTATAGTTTACGTTTCCGAATATTTTCCCGCAACTAACAAAACATCTTTTGTCCCCAGGTCGCTCAGAGCCAGGCATCGTGCCGTCCATAGTGGGGTTCACCAAGGACTCGGTTGCGCAGGAGTCGGACCGGCTGGCGCCAGGAGACAGGATCTGCAGCGTCAACGGGATATCCACAGCTCGGCTCACAAATGAGGAGGTCCTGCGGCTACTGGACAATGTGGAGGAGAGGGCCTCGCTGGAGGTGGAGTACTACATGCCGAATTATGGTGAGCATTCCCTTAACCCATTTAGACCGATAATTATTTTTGTAAATAAAAATAATCTCAATAATATTTTATTTGTAGTCATGATATCCAGTGTACTCTATTTTTGAAATAAAACTGATAAATAACATAATTTATCATAATTAAGAAGAAATATACCTTCTTGAACACATTGTAAATATTTTTTTTGTTTTCTGTCGAGGAATTTCATAAATATTTCCGAAACCAATTGTCAAAACATATTTTTAAATATTTTTATGTAAAATAATCACTTTAAGCTTACTGTCACAATCATTTTTAAAAATTAACGACAGGTTGGTACTTCAAAATATTTTCAAAAAGATACTGTACCACATAGGGTACGGTAGGTCTAAATAGGTTAAGTATTTTTAAACTCTTGGCCTGCACCTCACTTGATGGGAAGTGATAATCAGGTTAAAGGTGGAAGTTACACTCAAGATCCTCAACACAGAGGAACTCCTTTATATGTAGTAGTTACCTATTAACTTGAAGGCTATTTTCCTTACCTCTTAATATAAGTACAACAATGGTATTAACATTGTTGTTATGGCAATAAACTTAGATAAGATGCTAGTAGCAAGCTAGGCCTCCCTGAAAGTGGAGTCACACCCTTAGTATTGATCTATGGAAGCCAGAAATTTTGCAAATAGTATTATGAAAATAAGGAGTTGCCTCAATTGCTTTTGAGATCAGTAAATAAGTAGGTTACTGAAAATAATCATAACATTATTAATAATACGACAAAATTATTTCACATTCAATTTTATTTTCCAACAAGTGATTGTGCTTATGATTATAATTCTAAAAAATTAGTTACCTTTTACAGGCATAATAAATATTATATAAAATAACTTACATATACCTACTGTTTAAATTACAATACGTAATAGACATTATTTACATATTAGATTAAGTTATTATAATAATGGTTTATTTATTGGCACAGAAACTGTACCATACATAATATTACAAAATAGAGAAAGATGATAGATAAAAATATAATCAAGTTCAACTTGTTTTGATATCAAAAGATGAAATTAAAAAAAACACATTAAATTACTTTAGTATGAAAAAATTAAATTCGGATTTAAAAATGACATTGGGTATTACGATATAATTTTATGAACATAATGTCATTCAATTCCCTTTAAATGTCAGAATATAAAGTAGTTTTGTGTCGAGTACTTTTAGTGAGTTTTTTTTAAGTATCTTATACTGTGTAATTTCTGATAGGTTTTTAGACAAATGCTCAATATCTGATTTAAAATGTTTGACTTGATAATTATCTCTTTCTTACTTTTCTTATAATAAAAAAACGGTGGTTCAAGCACCGGAAATAACACCAATTGAGGATACAGATTTTAATCCCATTAGGAGCTGGTATCGTAACTTATTTCTATGTATTCTACAACATTCATAAATAAACAAATATTCAAGTATGTTTATCAGGACACTAGAAAGCCATTGGGGGAGGCCTATGTTTAGTAGACATCCTACGGTCAAAATGATGATGATCAAGGTACTACGGCACCAGGAATTTTTGGAAGGTTTTTCTATTTCACCTTTAACTCTTCCAAGACCTGGAGCCTTGCCATTCGCACCCTATGCATATGCTTCATCAAATACATGCCGGCAGCCATCAGCAGGCAAATATGGATCCGGGAGAACGTAGGCATATGGAAGGCGAAGTTCCATTCGTTGGGCATAGTCACCGACAGCTTGTTAGTCTCTTCAAAGTAGGGAATATTGCTGTATATGATGAGGTATTCGCAGAGGAAACCAGCGGGGTACAGAGGAATCCATAAGGTATAACGCAGCCACGTGATCATGTTGACGTCCTTCCCGTATATTTGCGTTAGGTAGAAAGGGTATCTGGAACAAAATTTTGGAAAATTATTGTGATTTGAATGGAAAAGATTACAAATGGTTGATGCACATCAACCTTAGCCAGGCAAATGTGGAATAGAGACCAGATCAATTTGAACTTTATGCTGTGAAGATACGGTTGAACACGAATGAAAACATTTTTTCCTAAGTCTAGTTAAGTAAGGGTTAATAGAGCCAAAGGAACTTCGATTTCGATACTCATCTTTCTTTTTTGTTTGCAAGGCTGATGATATTTTAAAGCTGTCTAAAGTTAATATGGTTAATTGTTAGGTACAAAATATCTGACCAGTTTTACATACCGGACAGTTTCTACCAAGCTCCATATTATAATCAGGTAAATCACCACTGGTTTGGCTTGGATTCGGGGTTCAATGTCTACGTTCCAGAATAGTACAACAGCACGTCCAAAGATTTGAAGGAAAGGTACGAAAGGAATTCCCTGAAACAAATAGAATTCAAAATTAGGCAATCAACTAATAAGAGATAAAGATATTAATGACACATTGGCTCGTTCAAAAGAAATTAGACAATCGAATACATTTAGCATACTTTATTTAAAATCACCGGAGCCTCTTGACGTGGATTGTGAAAGATGAGATGATGACAAATGATTGATGACAAATGATAAACTCAAGCCTATTTTCATCACCAGATCTCCCAGTCAACTTACCCGTGTAAGTCCAATCAAAGGGTTAAGTACTTCCAAAAACTGTAGGAGCTGCAACACTTTTATGATCGGTCCAACATTTTCATACAACACGTGACCTTGCGTCACGAATTTGAACAGAATGACGAGGATGACGTAGGAGTAGCCAAGGAATTGGAAGAAGTTGTAGAGCGTCAGGTAGAGCTTGATGAATATAACTGCAAAGAAATATTTCTCTTTAAAATAATAATATTCAACAGATTCGCAGTGAAAAAACACGACTCTTAACACAGGCTAATGGAGAGGTGAGAATTTTAACTGAAGTCTATGAAATAAACATGTCCATACAAAAATATAACATATCAAGAGGTATAAAGTCGCCCGGGCAAGCGCAATCGCCGGCAGTCTTGTAGATACTCAAGATGTTAACTGGCAAATAATACTCAATGCCATTCAGTTTGCCTCATTAAATTAACCCCATCCTAGCTAGACGGGTTATAATTGTATGTAAATGTATATTCGGTTTAATTTGGACTTATGCGTTGCTAGAAAGCATTCATTGATTTTATTTATAACCTGCAACTGCATTATGCATGAAAATAATTTAACATGACCCTAAGTCGGTCACAATAACATTGTTGTTATTCACTTGGAACGATCGTAAGACCTAGTAGTGGTTCACAAATTAGCTAATCAACACCAGTTGAATGCGGGTTCGAATCCTGTTGAGGACATGTTAGTGTTATCTTTAGTAATCAACGCTATTGCTGGCAATTGTACTTTAAAATATTTTTACTTTACATTTAAAATTAGTACCTATTATTTACAATCAATTAAGCAATACTAAACTTACACCATTTGGAGATTTTCGTTTTTTTCTTTTTTACAGTCTTCTTTTCGCTCTGCTGTACAGTCGGCTGCACAGTCGGCTGTTCAGTCTGCTTCTCAGTCTCCATTTTTATAGTCTGTATCCCTCCTAAAATGAGCCGTAATTTAATGTAAAATAATAAAATCTTTAATATTTTAAACTTTCGCGTTCCATTTCAATTAAAATAGTAAGACACGGGTCTTAACGCGACGTTTATTAATGAGTTACAATATGTACTCACGGCTTAATAAACGTCGCGTTAAGACCCGTGTCTTACTATTTTAAATAAAATCTTTAATTAAATAAAAGACCCTACTAAATTCAGGAACGAAAACCGACTGAACTCTACAAGTACAAGACTAGAAATATTAATAAAATATCTTAGCGCTGGTAGGGTAAAAAGATTATGAGACATGTAGAGGCTCCTTAAGAGCAAAATATTTGACGATTTGTAAGAACTATTAAATTTTAATAGTCTATACAAATAAAGAAATTTTGACTTTGACTTTAAACAACCTACAATATTTGCTTGAGCAGGAATCGAACCAAGTAATAAATAGTTAATTTTATCCAATCTTAGTAAAAATAACAAACATTCTATGGTTGTTGTCAATGGAAAGTAAACATTCAACAAGTCCGCGGCATGAATTAGATGGAATTATGTCACTGTCCACTGTTCATTGAACTTTATACCGGCGTTATCAAAACAAAGATAACAACGAAGAATTATAACTGTAAGTATAAACTAATAAGAGTTATTTTATCCTAAGTCGATGTAGTCGCATCCCTTCTACACTACAAATTGACAGCTGCTCGCAGACGGATCAATAATATCAAACACACATGACTGTTTCAGAATGGTAAATGAATAGTTTTAACGCGTTACACCAACGAGTAACAAATAAAACACGGTCTGAATTATTCTACTTTACGAGTGGACAGTAATTTGTTACTATTCACCTTATTAATTAGATATCGTTCGATAAAACCGGCTATCACGGCGCGGCCATGTTACTCGGCGCTCGGCAGAACTCGACTGACTTCGGATCGGTCGGGGCCCGACACGAGAGAGGACTTTTGGTAGAGTGAAGCAAGATAAACAATTTTCGATCTTATCATCATCGGAATAGGGTTCGCTAGTTTTATAAGGACCTGTTAAGGCACGTGGGGGTGATTATGTCTATTAAAAACACTGATAAGTATTCTTTGATCATTTGTGCTGAGCTGTACCATAATTTATTTGATTTCATTATTTTGTATCACACTAATGACTTATTATCCACAAATTATTACTGAAAGTTACAATGACATGTATCTTTTTATGATATGATTTGGAATAATACCTACTTATTATTAAATTGGAAAACTTAATAACAATGGTATAAGCCTCAATTATCTATTTATCTATCTACTCTACTATGTTTTTATGAAGTCTAGAAATTATGTTGTCTTGTATACTCGTGCAGTCCCATAAAAATAAAATGGTTCTTGATTCGGGTGTACTGATTGAGATATGTTTCAAGTGTAGGTACTGTAGTAGTCATAGCTAGTAGGAATTTAATTTATATTTGTATGTATAATATAGCCGCAAGCATATTATTATTAGAGTAAACATTCCTGTAGCAAAAAAAAAAAACACTTAAATCACTGGGTTTAGGTGATATAAGATTGTTCGTACCTTCGTACCTCGGCTTCCGGCGACTGGGACCGCAATTAACTAGGACCGCGGTCCCAGTCGCCGGATCCATAAAAAAATTATAATTTTCTTCCGGCGAATGGGACCACTCATAGATAACTTAAAAGAAAATATTATTCGATTCAAAATCGGTACAGTACTAAAATCCATGAGTGGTCCCAGTCGCCGGAAGAAAATTGTTTAATTTTTACGCATCCGGCGACTGGGACCGCGGTCCCAGTTAATTGCGGTCCCAGTTGACGGAATCCTCACTTAATCATTGGATCGAATGGATAAGCTGAACCTAAGTGATGTTAAACAATTTGTATCGTTATCTTATAATAGTTTAATATGTTATCTAAATATGGATTGATTACTTACTTGGTAACAAGTAAGTAATCAATCCATATTTAGATAACATCACAACACTAACGTAGCTAGTAGTAAATAGCTCAAAAAGAAGATAAGTACCTTCTTGTAATAATTATAATTAAAACTTATTTATCAGTCAAAATTATAACTTTAAACTGTTTAAAGTAAGTATTTTGCAGTTTCGATATTATTCATTGCTGCAGACAATAAAGTAATATTTTCGACAGTCATAATATGCAGATTTGGATGAGGTGACCTTTGGGTAATTGCAAATACAAAAATAACGTGACAATACGTACCTACCCATATAAAACTTCCGGTAGGTATGCGGAATCAGATGACCTTCAAAGGTTCATGTATTTTTTTTTTGCCTTTTTTGGTGTAGTGTACTATTAATGTACCTTTTAAATGCTGCAAGAATTATAACTATGAACAAGCGAGTACTTAACTAGGTTACGATAATAATAATAATACACGTTAATAAAATTCTCAACGATTACAAAGTTCACTCAACACACGAAGGAAATAACTCACAACTCACACACTTCCTAGACACTCTGAAACAAAAACTGTCCGTACTAAGCAGCAGACTCGATAGGTATAACAAATGTACACTCCGTAAATCACAGAACAAACAGTTTATATTAAATGAAAAACAATTTTACCGAAAATTTAGGACAAACACTAATTCTCATACTACTACCTCTACACCGTCCCCCGAAGATATGAGGGAGTTTTGGGCAGGTATCTGGGAGAAGTCTACAAACCATAAGGAAGAAGCTGAATGGATCAAACACGAACAACAAAAATTTGCACATATAGAAGAAATGGTATTTGAATCAGTCTCATTTGATACCTTCAGGAACATTATAGATAAATCACATAACTGGAAATCTCCCGGCTCTGATCAAATCCACAACTACTGGTATAAAAATTTACTCANTAATTTTCTTCCGGCGAATGGGACCACTCATAGATAACTTAAAAGAAAATATTATTCGATTCAAAATCGGTACAGTACTAAAATCCATGAGTGGTCCCAGTCGCCGGAAGAAAATTGTTTAATTTTTACGCATCCGGCGACTGGGACCGCGGTCCCAGTTAATTGCGGTCCCAGTTGACGGAATCCTCACTTAATCATTGGATCGAATGGATAAGCTGAACCTAAGTGATGTGAAACAANTTTACTCATATACAAACATATCTACACAACTTCGTCAATCAGTTTATTACAAATCCTCACAGCATGCCCACATATATAACAACTGGAATAACCTATATGATATCAAAAGATAAAAATGATATATTAAATCCGAGTAAATATAGACCAATTACTTGCTTACAAACAATCTATAAAATAATCACGTCCTGTATAGCACATATTATATACAAACACACAGAAATTAATGAAATAATGACAGAGCAACAAAAAGGCTGCAAAAAGTACAGCCAAGGGTGCAAGGAACAGCTTACAATAGACTCTGTAATCCTCAAACAAGTTAAAAAACACAAAACTGATCTTTATTCCATGTACATTGATTACAAAAAAGCTTATGACTCTGTACCTCACAGCTGGCTACTTCAAATTCTGAATATTTACAAAATCCATCCTACAATTATACAGTTTCTACAAAATACTATGCAAACATGGACAACACAGCTTAGAATTAATTCAGATATAGGTACTTTACACTCCGACCCTATTCGTATCAAACGCGGCATCTTCCAAGGAGACGCGCTGAGCCCACTCTGGTTCTGCCTCGCTCTCAACCCGTTGTCAAATTACTTAAACTCTACAGATCTTGGATACTCACTAACATATCAGACGCACACAGAAACACTCACTGGAAAGCTAAGTCATCTTATGTACATGGATGACATTAAACTTTTCGCGGAATCGGAAAATGATCTCGAAGTGCTTGCAAATATCACTGAGAATTTTTCCCTTGACATTAATATGGAATTCGGAATAGATAAGTGCAAAATAAACTCCATTAAAAGCGGACAGAGATATCAACATTCTTATCAGCTAGACACAGGTGAGACAATTACGCCCTTAGATGAAAATGACACTTATAAATATTTAGGTTACAATCAATCCAACTTAATAGACTATAAACAAAGTAAAGAATACCTGAAGAAACAATTTAGAATCAGACTTAACGCTATTTTATCTACACAATTAAATTCTAGAAATTTGATCAAAGCTATTAACACATACGCAATACCTATTCTCACATATTCTTTTGGAATCATTAATTGGTCTAAATCCGAATTAAAGGCACTACAACGCACCATACACACAAGTATGACAAAACACCGGAAGCACCACCCGCGGTCATGTGTACAGCGCCTGACGTTACCACGGATAGACGGAGGTAGGGGCCTTATTGACATAGCTAATTTACACGCAAAACAAATCACTAACCTACGAAGCTATTTTCACAATAAATCACAGACTTCATTGCTACATAGACTCATCTCAGANTAGGTAAATTATACATTATTTCTTTATTATTATGTATGATGTACTGTCTTACGATACAACTACGGATTAAGATCGTTTAGTCGACGCAGCGTTGAAATTGTACAGATAAATGCAGTTTGCGCACTCACCACGCGACGTCAAGCAATAAAATCCTAAAATTCGAACGCCAACTTTTTGCTACAACGCTCTTAAGTCAGCATTTAAAATGGTATCAACATGTCGTACCTTTGCGGTGTACAAATTAAATTAAAAATAAAATATCAATTACAATAATACTGCATAATCAATCAAATCAAATTAAAGTTAAAGTCAATGTTGCATAATCAGATTAAATGGAAAAAAAATATTAAGAAGTAAATCAAAATTTGTCACTTAGGAAGTCCGTCAGATTATAATAACATTTTTCAATTAATAAATTTTCAACATGAAGACGATGTCCTGGATGTGTTTTATTATCTCTATTGCCAGTTCTAAAGCATTATTTCGTGTCCCGGAACAAAACACAACGTGTAAGTAAATGATACAGCGCTTTTTGTTGGAAAAAATATTTTTGAAATTGGATGAAAATAGATATTTAATAACAAAATCTAATAGGTACGAGTATAAAAATTAGACCGTACCGTAGCGTAGCGATAATAATGTTTTTAAGGTAACAAAGTTCTAAAACATGAACTTAACATATTCTCTGCACTATAATTTCAAACTTTAATTCTTAGCCAAACTGAGCTTC